CATACCATCCTGCCCCCCTCAAGGTTCACGTCCTTCTTTCAATGCAACATTCAGTCATTCCATGCCTGTAGTCGTCAAAGGCTGAAACCTTGCCAGCATGACTCCAAAGTGCAAAGTCTCAAGTCTCATCTGAAACTCAAGGCAAATGACTTCCAACAAGTTACATGGTTTCAGGATACAGCCTTGAAACAGGCACAGGGCAAATAGTCCTGTTCCAAAAAGGAAGAATAGAGAGTAGAAAGGGTTCCCAGACTCCAAGCAAGTCTGAAAACAACCAAAGAGGACACTTGATCCCCAAACTCCAAGTCCAGTCTCCTAGACACAGGGCAGGGTACTGGTCCCAGGGCCTTGGGTGCTTGCAGCCCACATGGCTGCTTTCCTGGGTTGCATGCCATGGCCTGTGGCTTTCCTAGGCTGGCATTGACACTGTCAGTGGCTCTACATTCTGGGGTCTCAAGAGCACTGGTCCCACTCTCATGGCCTCACTAGGCATTCTGGTGAAGAATCTTTGGCAGTGACTGCACTCCAACAGCAGGGCCTCCAGAACTGTCCTTTGAAACCCCAGGGGAAGCTGTTGTAACAGCAGAGCCCTTGGGTTCTCTGTACCTGCAAAAGAGAACCAACTGGGCATCACCAAAGTGTGTTGCTTGCTCCCTTTGAAGCATCAGGAGTCATGCCTGGGCTTTCGTGAACCATGGTTGGACAGACCCAGAGCATTTTGCTAGAACACAAGGAGCAGAATCCTGAGACAATGCTGGGGCCCCTTCCATGGCCTTTGGTGCTCCTGATGGAAGGGCACCCTGGAAGATTATGTGTAGGCCTCAGGCCTTCTCTCCCATGGTTTTGAAGCAGAGGGCCTGGCTCCTTCCCACCCATAGTAATCTCTTTCCCATCCCCTATATTATCACTCATTTCCCATTTTGCTCTTTAGGTGGGCAGACTGTGACATTTCCAGTGTTTTAGGGTAGGCTTGCCTTTGTCAAGTATCATTGTAAATCTCACTGAAAATGACCAAAAATAACCACACAACTCCTTCTATATTTTGCTTAGAAATGTTGTTCTCTGAATCCTCTAGGTCTTGGATCTTATATTTGACCCTCCATGATGTCTTTAGGCATAAATACAATGTAGCCAAGTGTTTGCAATCATCAAAGGCCGCCTTTTCCTTATTTCCACAGATGACTCCCACTTCCTTCTGAAACCTCCTTAGGATGGCCTTTACTAAGCACATTGCTATCAGCATTCTGAATATGACCACTTAACCAATCCCTAGGAGGTTCTAGCTCCTTCCTAGTCTCTTTGTTGTCTAAACTCTCACCAGGATTACTGACAATTCTCCATTCACAACAGTACAACACTTTCCTTTCTTTTTCATTCTTCAACTTCTTTTGTACTTGTTGTACAGGGGATTTAACCCCAGGGCACTGAACCACTGAGCCATATCCCCAATCCTTTTTATTTTTATTTTATTTTTTAAAAATTTATTTACTTTTTTCTAATTTGTTACATATGGCAGCAGAGTGGCATTACAATTCATAGGACACATATAGAGCACAATATTTCATATCTCGGGTTCTACACAAAGTACAGTCACACTTTGCTTTCCTATATCAGGAAATTTTACGCATTCTCGATGCCCCTGCCCACCTGGCCACCTGGCCTGCCCAAATGGGGTAGGTAAGGGTAAGGGTAAGGGTAAGTTTGAACTTAGCAGAATTCAGAGTGACCCTTACCCCACACTGCTGGAAGGGCATGTGCACAGGTATCCCAATGGTGAGGGCCTGCCCCACTGGCCACTGTCCAGCTGTATCTGCACCTGGACATCCAGCCTGCTGTGGGCCTGACCCTGAAGGCCTACAGATTGCAGTTCTGGACCAAGACCCTGTCTCATAAGATCCAGGAGCTAAAAAGGGCTGAGGACAAATCCACAAAGCTCTAGCTCCCTGTTCAGGGAGGGAGGGAAGGGCTACATGCAGGTGGAGTCTGCCTGTGTTGTCCTCTGTTGCTCACCCTGGAGCCTGGGTTGGCCCTCTCATTCACAGAGCCATTCATTCACTCTTCAATTGTCCTTCAGGCAACACTGATGAAGAACTCACATCATGATGGTCATTGCCCAGGCTGCCATGGGTCCTCTCTCATTAGACTCACTCAGTCAATCCCCCCAGGAAGCTGTGGGTGGGTAAGCCCAGTGGATGGCCACCTTCCTCCACTGAGTCTGACTATAGTCCCCACTGGGCCTGAGTATATTCCTTCCTTCCTCCCCTCCCCTCTCCAGTACTTTCTGTCTCCTCTCCTCCAACCATCTAGACACTCTTCAAAGGAGGGCTATGCTGTGAGAATATTGCCCACACCTGAGTGTCAAAATCCCACATCTACTTCTCAGTAAGTCCCATGTATTCTCATCTCTGACATTTACCACTAGACAGACTAGACTAGAAAATCTGTTTATCTAAACTCCTAGTATCTTGGTACATTCAGACTGCTGTAACAAACATCATCACAAAGTGGGTACCTTATAAACCACAGAAAATTATTCAGAGTCTGCAAAGTTATTTCCAAGTCAAGATGCCCAGCCTGGTATGGTGGCACACATCTGTAATCCCAGCAACTCAGTAGTCTAAAGAAGGGGGATCACAAGCACAAGGCCAGCCTCAGCAACGTAGCGAGACCCTCTCTGAAAGGACCCTCGCAAAGTCCACCAGAATCCCACTTGAGATATTTATTGTCAGTAGCATGGAGCAAACTGACAAGGCTGTCCTTCCTGGGACAGCAGCTACACGCGTGCTTAGGAGTTGCGTTATGTGCTGGGGTGGGGTGAACCTTTTATCAGGCACATTCAGAATTGAAGCCTGGGAGTCCCTGAATAAAATGGCTCTTAAATCTAAACCTGGGAGTCCCTATATAAAAATAGATCCCAACCTAAAATGGCAGATTTGGTGCCAATATCTCATGCCAATATTCCTCCATTGTAATTTTCATAGATGTGGGGTTGTGGGGGAGCACGAGTCTTTCTTCAGTTGTTTCTTTCTGCTGCTTAGGGGCACAGAATCTCGTTCCTATAAAGGGGGTCAGGGAGGATATTAGGTGGGGCCAGAATCTCTGGAGTTGGAGCAATTGACCATGAGTCATAGGGCTCTGTCTTGGGAGTCAGGGGCTGGTAGTCTTGAAGGAGAAGATGTTGAGTGACCAACTGTTGGTGAATTTGTGTATCTTATCTTGCATGAACTTCTGGAGGCAACTTAACAGACATGGTCCTAGTAGGAGAAACATAAAGAGGACTAATAAGGGTCCTGCTGGGAAGAGAATCCAAGGTCACACTAGATTGCATACTCCCCAAGGTGGCCAATTGCTGCTTCCTCTTTTCTAGCTGCTCTTGTAGTTTTTTTTTTTTTCTTGTTCTTCCTACCCCTGACTGGTGGACATAAAACAGCACTGCTCCTGTAGGTATAGGCAGAGGCCTCCTTTCTCTGCTGTTAATAGGTCCAATCCACAGTGGTTTTGTAGGATCACAGAGGCTAAGGAGTCCAGTTGATTCTGCAGGGTTAGTATAGACTTGGCTACCTGCTGGTTTGTCCCCTATCAGCTGATTAGAGAGCTGATGAAAGTTATTCCTGTGCTTCCTGTGGCTAGGCCTGCTGTAACCTCAGGCTCGCTGGGAAATCAATGGAATAGCCCATTTGTGTCAAGGGCTCATATGAGCACAGACTTACCAAGGAGCTCTTTAGGCCTAGAAAACCTGCTATTAAATGAGAGAAGCCAAAAATCTCTTTCCAGGATGTGTGAGGGCTGAGAAGTTGTCCCCATAACAAGGGTGGAGAGGACAAGGCCTTTATTTGGGAATATAAATCTTTAACATAGCCAGAGTTATCAGGAATATAAACACAATATTTAACTTTTTTAAAAAAAATTTAGTTGTAATTAGACACAATACTTTTATTTTATTCATTTATTTTTTTTTTAATGTGATGCTGAGGATGGTACTCAGATCATCTCACATGCTAGGCGAGTGCTCTACAGTTGAGCCCCAGCCCCAGCCCAACATTTAACTTTAATGTCACAGATGTCCATCTTCTCAAGGTGTAGTAAAGCTATTTAAAGTCATCTGATTCTGTAAAACATCTATTTTTGTTACTTAGAGCTGGATAGTCATACTAGTGAACATCAAGCCTACATGTTTAGGTTAGGAATATCTGTAGGCCTTAAAACTAAAAACTTCTAGCTTTGGTAGTTTTCTAGATTATTATTGGGCATTCTTTACTAATCATCTCTCTTTTGTAGCCTGCGGTCTTATGTGTTCTTGGGGAGAAAAGACGTGTATATCTTAGGTGACGTGTTCTAGCTCTTAAGCTGATCTTTGCCTCTTTCTTAAATATCATTTTACAAAGTCACAATATATTGTCTCTTTTTGAAGTCCATTTTGTAAGGTCAGAAAGCAGCGACCAATAGGAGGCAGATTCAAAAGGCTGCTGAATGAGGCTTTATTGAGATTTTGCTCCTGGGCAAGACCCTCAGATCAACTGGGCAGGTCCGAGGAGAAGTGAGGGGGGCCGGACCAGACTGAAATTCTTATTGGGCTTAGGGCAGGAAGGGAGGGCTTGGGATAGAAAATGGGGTCTCTTGTCCTGGTGGGGTTGGCTGGGGGAGCTTGCTAAGATCCAGGATTGATCTGGAAACCCCGCTTATTGGCAAGTGGTTCTGTCAGTGTTTGATTGGTGGTTCTTTCGTGCATTCGGGTTTCTTAATGACCTCAAACCGACCTAACATCCTGGCCTTTTTGATGATATATGGCGGTGACATACATCTGGATACTTCCTGCTGGCTAGGGGCAGTGGGGGAAGGGGACGGTTCAGGTGTTGGCTCGGTAGAGAGGCGACCGTAGGGGTGTAGGGGCATCAGGTTGTAGGTCACTCTGGCAATTTCACCCATGTGCTTTTGGGCAAACCTGAGGAGGCAGGGAGCAATCATTAATAGAAGTCCTATTACTAATATAGGAGTGAGAATGGGAGTCAGCCATTGTAATGAGGGTTGAGTTTAGCCAGCCTGGACAAGGGTCAAGGGTCATTTGATTGTTGCTGTTTAAGCCTTTCACCCAAATGAAAGGAGGGTGTTGACATTCTTTTTGATCAATCCAGTTTCACTGATATAATAGCAGCATTCTGCTTTCAGGAATAGACAAGTTTCTCCTTTGTCTGCCATCAGAAGACCCAGGGCTCGAAGATTCTGTAATGAAACTTGAACAATAGATGTGATTTGCCTTTGTAGGGAAGTTAGGGTTGGCCAATGCCTCTACCACTTCCCGAAGTTGTTGTTCAAGCTTCTGAGTAGTGGTTACTGCATAACCAAGTCCTCCTGTCCCCAGTTCAGAGGCAGTGAGTGAGGAGGCAAGAGAGAGTCCAACAACTACTGTTAGAAAGACGGTCCATCTGTCCTGGAAAGAGAGATAGTAACAAGTCATATTAATTCAGCCTCACTGTACAGAGTTTATTGAGTGCCCAAGATGGAAGGAATATAAAAAGCAAAGGGCATGTTAGGCTTAGAATTTTTGTGAGGGTAACATTGCCACAGAAAAAGAACCCCAGCAGAACAAATGTTGGGAAAGTGATTTGAATGATTTGGTCACAGGGTGCTGAACCAGAGGCAATGTAGCAGCAGGGGAAATTCCTTGATGAGTTATCAAAAAGAGTGACTTCCTCAAAGGCTGGAGAGGGGGCTCTTAGGGTATGGTTGAGGTATTGAGAGGAAGATCAATGGAGATCCCAGTTAACGGAGTACGATGCAAACCTGTGCAGAGGAAGCAGTCTGAAATGTCATTAACTTTGGATAAACTGAGAAGCTGAAGGCCCTGACATATTAGGGCCATCCCTGAGAAAGGGTCAGCTTTAGGATGAGCAGCTGCATCCAGCTGGTGTTGGAGTTCCTTCTCTTGCTCCTGGATGGTTTTGTGAATTTGAGGGAACACTTGTATATAAGTTCTGCATATTCTGATAGAAGCTGAGTGGTGCTTGGAGAACCCCAAGAATAAAATTTACCAAAACACCAGAAGCCCATTTTGGGTCCCATGGTTTCCAAAGAATTAATTTGGTATATGCTTGTTTCTCATACCAAGGCTGATCTAGGAAGCATTTCTTGCATGAATTATAAGGGCACCCACCATAGGTGTCAGGTCAGCCCTTACCAGATTCCTCAGTTTGGTCTGATATGAAGCATAGCATTGCTGCACATAGGTGGGACAAGGGGGCTCAGTTGAATCCAGTAATGTTAAGGGTGACTGCCCTATTACAGCCAATGGAAGGACAATCACCCTGACCCATAAACTGAGAGCAGGTGGTGCCATCCGGGTGCCATGTCTCTTGGATGTAGAAGAACCATCTGTGGGTTGGGATAGAAGCTTGAGAGGAGTAACGATTACTAAAAGAAAAAGAGGGTCGGCAAGAAATCTTGAGTTTGGTGGACCCCAGAGTGCTGGAAGTCCAGGAGTGAACATTTGGAAGAGGAAATTTTTTTTAAGGCAGGAGACACAGTATCAGGGGGAGAGGCCCAAAAGCTTGTCCGCCATTGGGGTTGTAAGTATGTCTTTTCGGGTTCCCATCCATCGAGGTTCCAATGATTGAGGATGCAATTCCTGAAGTAAGAAGTGTCGCCCTGTAGAAGGGGGTCTGATTCAGTTTGTGGCTGTACTGGGATTGAGTCAATGGATGGCCCAGGAAGGCAACAGTCTGTGTGTTCCTTTAGAATTTTGTGTAGAAGTATGAGATAGGACAGGAAGGACACAAGGGGACAAGGAATGATTGGAAAGCAGGAGATTGGGCCAAGACAGCCTGAGTTCAATAGCAAGTCTGGTGAGATGGTCCTTGAGAATGCCGTTAGCCCTCTCAACCTTACCCAAGGATTGGGGTCAGTAAGGGATGTGGAGCCTCCAACTTATGTTGAGGTCTTTGGAGACTAGTTGAACCACCTGAGAAATGAAGGTCAGATGGTTATCTGACCAGATGGAGGCGGGAAGTCTGAACCTGGGAATGATCTGCATGATGAGGATGGAGGAGATGGTGTCAGCAGTTTCCCTGGAGGTAGGGAAGGCTTCTATCCAACTGTAAGAGAGTGCTCTCCCCCAAGTCACAAGCAGTTAGATCCTGTGCCAAGACTTACCCAAAGAGGTGGGGACTGTCCCTGAGGCCTTGGGGTAGGACTGTTCATGTCAGCTACTGAGGCCAAAAGGATGTAGCTTCTTCCCATATGAAGGCAAAGGGGTAATAAGAGTCAGGATGGAGAGGCACTGTAAAGAAGGCACCTTTAAGATCCAGGACAATATAGTGAGTGGTCAAAGGGGGAATATGCAAAAGAAGAGTGTGAGGGTTGGGAACCAATGGAAGGATGGGAATAACCGCCTCATTAATTAGGCAGAGGTCCTGGACTAAGTGATAGGCTCCGGAGGGTTTGCGTATGGGCAGTATGGGAGGGGGAGTGAGAAGGGATGGGGAGTCCCTGGGCAAGTAATCAGTCTATGATGGGTTTAAGTCCTTTCCTGTGGGTTTTGGAGATGGAAAGTTGGGGATGCAAAAGAAATTTAGTTTGAAGTTTCAGCTAGATACAGACTGGCTTGTGGTGGGAGGCTACGACTGACTTGGAGGTGACCCAGACCTGGGGATCCACTAGTTTAGTAGGTACTGTTGGGTTATTAGAGAGGTTGAGGATTAAAGGTAAAAGAAGATGGGTGGTAGTACTCTAGGGATGTAGTTGGAGTGTGGCTCCTAGTAGTTGGAGAATATCTCTTTCTGGAAAGGAACCGGACAGGCTGGAATGACCAGAGAAGAGTATGTGAAAGGGTGTCCCTCCAGGGCACAGGTCAGTTTAGCAGTTCTGTTTGGGAAGGAGGGTTGGCCGTCAATCCCCATCACCAAGACCTGGGAAGGAAACAGAGGCCCAGTGTGGGCAGGCAAGACAGAATAGGTTGCTCCCTTGTCCACAACAAAGGTTGTGGACTTACACACTACCTGCAGTGTTACCCTGGGCTTGGGGAGGGTGATAGGGATCCTCGAGTCCAGGCATCTTCAGTCTTCTGTGAACCCCAATAGTTCAAGAGAAGGGACAGCCTGACTAGTCATACTTACACATGGAGGTACCAAGGAAGGGCCAGCCATGGGGCAGTTGCTCTTCCAATCTCCTGTGTGCTTACTGGTGGGACACAGCCTGAAGTGGGGGGCCATGGGTTTGGGCATTGGCAAGCCCAGGGACCATTGCATCCACATTTGAAGCAAGGCTCTGGTGGAGAGGAATCCTGGTTCCCCTGTGAAGCTCTCGCTGGAGCCATAGGCCTCAGGGCCACCACCAAGACCTGGGTTTGGAGTGTTCCCTTTTTTTGCAATTGATCCTTCTTGGCTACTTCAGCCAACTCTTCCTGGGCATTATAGACTTTAGAGGCCATTTTCACCAGATCTCAGATAGGGGTCTGAAGGCCCTCCTCAGCTCCTTTGAGCCTTTTTTTAGTATCATTGTCTGATTGAGTAATGAAATGGGTTGCTAACACTTTAGCCCTGGAGGGAGACTCAGAATCCAGCTTAGTATATTTGGTGAGGGCCTCTGTAAGGCACTTGAGAAATAAGGCTGGATTCTCATCTGAATCTTGGGTGATTTGTCTCAGCTTATCAAATTTAACCAACATATTGAAACTATATGCATGCCTGTATAGGATATTGAACCATATGAGTGCAGTAACGGTGACCTCGTTTGTCATCTTGATAGTCCCACTTGGTTTCAGTTAGGGGAGTGGCTGCTTTACCTGTGGGGAGGGTCATATCTTTTAGATGAATTTGATCAGCATGATCTCATTTGGCCTTCTGGATGCTGGCTCAGTCATCCAGGGTCATCCAGGGTGGAGGAAAGAGTGACATAAAGTCATGCACGTAAAATCATAAGTCTGAGAGAGTTATCAGAGTCCATTAATATAATTAGAAGAGTCAGCAAAAAAGGACCCAAGGCGCTTTTGAATCTGGGAAAGATCTTGAAGTGAGAATGGGACATGTACTCGGACAATCCCTTTGCACCTGCCACTTCCCTGAGAGGGCAAAGGAGCTTTGGGTTACTGTTGAGAGGGCCTGTTGAGACTAGGTATTGGTACTGGCAGAAGAAGAGAGGAGTGAGTGGGAAGAGAAGGAAGGGTTGTATGAGTAGTAGAATTTGGTGGAGGAGCCATGGCTGCAGGAGAGTAGGAGGGACAGGAGGGGAAGAGGGACGAAGGGAGAGGTCCTGGAGTCGGGGAGGAGGAACTGTGGTAGCAGCAGGAGGTGGAGGGGTGCAGGTGTGGGAGGGGAGGGGGAAGACAGGAAGGTGGGGCTGAGAGCAGCTCCTGTGGATCTGAGAATGAGGAAGGAGATGTAGAACTATGGGAAAGGCGTTTGGGATTTTCCCTAGCAAGGAAAGCTTGAGCAGTAGAGCAGGCAGAGCAGAAGGGGGGACAGGAGTGAGCCTCAAAATGCCTGAATGTGCCTCCAGATATAAGGTGCTTCTGCCCACTTTCCTGTCCAGTGATGGAAATTGTCCAGTTTAGTGAGTATTTAAAAGCAAAAGTTCCTTCTGGGGGCCATTGTGACCCACTGTCTAAGTCACACTGGGGCCAGGCCACAGTGGAGTAAAGACGAGGGGTTTTCGGCTTAGGTCTTGAGTGAGTCCAAATTTGGTAAAAGCAACCCAAAGGAGATTTGGGGTCTAAGGGGGACTCGCTGTTTCCCATGACCTTCTGAAACCCTGGGGTGTGTAGGAACAGAAGAAGGTGTCCCAAATTCTGATTGCACTCATCCAAGGAACAGATAAGGTTGAGGTGACCCTGCAACCCACCAGGGGCCCAAAAGAATCGGAAGAGGTCACGCAAGGACTGGGAAGTCTCCACAGTTCCTGGGCCTTGAATGGAATGGGTGGAGGTCTATGGCACATACAGGACTTACTGATAGACCCCCCCCCCATACCCCGAGACAAAGGGACTGGTAGATCAGGGGAAACATGGGAACTTACCCCAATCCTGTAGGCCTGGATGAAGGGAGAGGGAAAGGAGCAGCTTAGGAATTTCCTGGTTCCTTTGAAGTAGGGAGAGTGGATCTCAATCCCTTAAGGGAGAGGCCAGAAAATCCCTCCTGGATTTCGGCACCAGATGTAAGTTCAGACAGCAGTGACCAAAGGAGGCAGATTGAAAAGGCTGCTGAAGGAGGCTTTATTGAGATTTTGCTCCCAAGTGAGACCCCCAGACCGAAGGCCGGGTAGAGAAGTGAGTGGGGCTGGACCTGTCTGAAATTTTTATGGGGCTTAGGGCAGGAAGAAGGCTTGGGACAGGAAAAGGGGGTTTTGGGGTCCATTGTCCTCCTGGGGTTGGTCAGGGAAGCTTGCTAAGAACCAGGATTGGTGAGGAGACCCCGCTGACAGACAGGTGGTTCTGTTGGTGCCTGATTGGTGGTTCTTACATGCACACAGGTTCTTAATCACCTCAAACCCACCTAACCCATATGAAAGTTAGCTAACACAAAATATTACATTTAAAACATGAGAAGAAAGGTGAGAGGTTTTAGCTTTTTTTGTAGAAAAGTAGCAAAATGCTTTTGTGTTTTACAATAATGACCTCTAAATAGATTAGGCACTCATTAACTTAAAAATACATTTAAATTGTATCCCACTGTAAAAAGGAACAAAATGCTTTACACATCTTACTGATAACAGGTCCGGTTGTAAAGAATTAAATGATATAAATAAATACCCAATTCAAGTTTTTTATCCTTATGAATCTAAAATTACCATACAACTTTAGTTTGGAGAACACCAGTTTGATATAATGTTCTTTTATACCCTCTATCTTAAAGACTTGTATACCTGGAAGATATGTACACACTTAATATACAAAGAAGAGAAATAGCACCATAATTCCATTGATGTTTTTATATTAACCAAGTTTAGCTTTTAAACAAAATTTAAACCTTGGAACAGTTGTTGTTTAACAGTTGTATAATCCTAAATTCCCTCACGATTATTTGTTCTAAAAAGTAAAACTTAATAAAAACAATGTTATTGGTAAATTAACAATTTAAGAAATCATTGTCATTTTAACAAGTAGATTAAACTTTCTTTTATATCATTACATTAATATTTGACCTTAGGAAAAACCTTCAATACCTTATGTTAGGTCCGTGGCAGCGACTTGGTGGCGACTTAGTGGCAACTTAGAACAAAGCAGCCCGCGCTGCTTTGAACATCAATCAGATGCCAGTGGAAATGCCTGTCAATCAGCCAGATCTCCTGACTAACGCCTGTCAATCAACAGGACCCCCTGGCCAATCCTGGAGTTCAGCCAACTCCCCTGACCAACTCCAAGGGGGCAAGGGATCCTAGAGACACCTTTTCCTGTCCCAAGCCCTTCCCTTCCTGCTGTAAGCCCCATAAAAGTCCAGTCCGGTCCAGCTTCCACTCGGTTTCTCCTCAGACCCTTCCCCTGTCCCCTCTGTGGGTCTGATTGAGTTCCGCCTGGGAGTGATATCTCAGTAAAGCCTGTTCAGTGGCCCTTTTAAATCTGCCGACTTTGGTTGCTGCCTGCCCAGCCTGATCTGACACCTTTCACTGATTCTTTGATATATATATATATATATATATATATATATATATATATATATATATATATATATATATATATATCTCCAATCTATACAGACTTTTTTATCACTTATTTTGATCCTCTTATTTATTTCATCAAACAAAGTCTTTTTTATCCAGAATCATTTTCTTTTCCTTCTACTAAATATGGTTCCATGCCTAAAACCTTCTAATTTCCCTTTCCCATCTGTTATTCTCTTTTTTATTCACTGTTTGAAACAATCCTTGTTAATTTCTAAATTTAGACAGATTATTCCATTTTAATGAGAAGAAATACTCTACGTAATTTAAAGTACTCTAATTGAAACACAGTTAAAACTTTTGGAACTCTTTGTATAGAGAATCACATTTGTTTACCATTTCATGAAATTATAATGTTCAAGTATTATACCTGTTGGGACTTTACATTTTCAGTAAACTTGTTTTCAGTGATAACAAAGCAATCTTAGCCCCTTTTTTTATTTATCAATGGAAGAAAACAACAAAAATTTTACCTAGTGGAATTTAAGGACTTAAGAGCACTTTATGTTATATTTAACAGTTAGCATCTTAATCTTATAAATTAATCAGATGTCTAATAACCACATTTATGAGTAATCCCATGTCAAATCTAATACACTTATTTTTATGAAGATATCAGACAAGCGTATTGAACAGTCTTAGCCATTTCTCCCTTGTTGAAGAAAAGTCCTAGAAACAATGGATATTAGACATTCTATAGACATCAAGAGTTAATAGTTCTTTGACCACCTGGAGAGACTTGTGAGGTAAATAATCCTAAAGACATCTTTACTTTCATCTGTTTACGCAATTGAGATTGAACCTTCTTAAATCATGTGAATTAAAGGATCCATTTCTATTAATTTATGAGCACTCATTGTATATCTGCCAATTTGGATATCATGTACATGATATATCGATGTGCACACATATAGACATACAAAATATAACACAGGTGTGCACACAGGACACAATTGCAAAGGCCTTGTAGCTTGCTGTAGGTAAATCTTCATTGCAATGTTACAGAAGTTTAAAAAGTTGAATAAAAATAGGACTGATCAGAAAAACATTAACCTGGGTGTATAGGATCCAAATCATGAGCTCCCAAAATATGGAACCTGAGGGAAAAAAAAAAAAACCAAAGGGTCCTAGAAATCATGACTACCTGGTAATTAGTAAGGTGCCTTACAATTTGCTTTTGGGTTTAGTATACTAAGAATTCAGGTAAAACACACTTTTACATTTGTTTTCTTTTTCCTAGGGCCTCAGATCAGTCTCCTACTGAGTCTGCAGGCCTCTTCCATTTACATTTCAATGTAAGTCTTGACATAAATCTGGAAGAAGCTGGGTAAAACTGCTGTTTCCTAACCCGCCTCCCAAACTCTCCTGCCTTCCTCAGGTAGAAGTCAGTTGGATAGAATCATGGAAAGTTGGATCCTATGATTGAGTTAGGTATTGGAATTCCTTACTGTACCCTGAGGGATTGGAGGGGAAGGACCCTAGCCTCCTTTCCACTGGGGAGAGGTCACTAAGGGAGAAAGGGACATGTACCTGGACAACTCCCTCTGACCCTGCTACTTATCAAAAGGGAAGCAAGGGTGCAGGCTGGGTAGAGGGCGCCAAGCAAGAAGGAGTAGCAGGTGGACAGAAAGTAGGTGAGGGAGGTCCCAGAGGGGTCAGAGCAGAAGGTGGAGAACGGTGGGAAGGGGGTCCATCAAGGGGGTCAAAGTCTGGGGTTTGAGGAGGGTCCTGAATCCCTCACAAGAGATTTGTTGGCAGTAGCATGGAGCAAACTGACAAGGCTGTCCTTCCTGGGACAGCAGCAACAAGCATGCTTAGGGGTTGTGTCCTGGGCTGGGGTGGGGTGAACCTTCTAGCAGGCACATTCGGAATGGAAGCCTGGAGTCCCTAGATAAAATGGCTCCTATATCGAAGCCTGGGAGGCCCTGAATAAAATGGCTCCCGACCTAAAATGGCAGATCTGATGCCAATAGTGATCTCATGCCAATACTTCTCAAAAGTAAAAATGAATAGAACTAGAGATGTAGTTCACTAGTAAAGTTCTCCTGGGTTCAAATCTCAGTCTGAAAAAAAAATTAAAAAAAAAAAAGAAGAAGAAGAAGAAGAAAGAAAGTAAGATGCGAGCAGATTGGGAGTATGAGGAGAGCTTGCTTTCGGCTTTTTCACTCATGGACGGCACCTTCTCACTGAGTCATTACATGGTATAAGGGGCAAATAATGCCTCCCATGACCATATTGAAGCCAGAATTAAAGACAGGCAGTCAATGTAGATAGGTAATAGGGTCGATGGAGAAGATGGAGGCCAGTTGGAGTCCAGGAAGTTGGAGACCACCCCTGGGAGACTAGAATGGTAATTGCCTCCTGAGCACTTTGACCACCAGGATTCCCTACATATACTGCCCCTCCTAGAAGGTGGTTCATGAAGCACCCCCTGAACAGACAGGGAGCTGCTAATTAAGGTCTCCTGGGATGCAGCTCCCTTCCGGCCCCAACACTCCACCTTGGCCTTTCCAGCCCACCTGCTTCTCACCTTTTGGTCATTCCACCAGCATCTCCTGGGCCTCATCAGGAAGGAAGAGATAAGGGGGAAGAGATCAGGAAAACAAAGAAAGTCTAAAATGTCTAAAAGGTGCAGGATGCTCTCACTTCTTGGGATACCAGGATACCACCAGCTGTTAGGGTCGGGCAAACGTCAGAGGAAAGGACCACCAAGAGACTATCTCATGCAAAAGCAAAGGGGTTTATAGGACCAGCATGCTGGGGCTCAGAGTTCTCCTGAGAGAAGCTGGAGCCCTGAGCACAGCTTAAGCAGAGTTTTTATGCAGTGTTTAAACAGGGAAGTTCATATGGCAGTTAGGGTGCGAGGGTGGGATTGTTACAAAATAACCATTACAGAATAATCATGCCTTTTGTCAGGGGGTGTTGGGTCAGGGTACATTTTGACATAAGTAACTGTTTTTAACATAAGTTTCGGGTTCCAGGAAAACAGAACTTAAACTTACAGAAAAGCAAAACTTAAACTTAACAGGAGAGCAAAACTTAAATTTAACCTTTACATTCCCCACTTCTTTTTCTGAGTACTTCTAATCTTAGAAGTGACAAGATTATTGAGGGGTATCACACTCTGTGTCTGCTAAAGGGACATACTGTTGTCTTATTACCATAAGTTTAACTTGTCCAATTTGAGCTTGAAGAAAGGAGACCACACGGTTGAGTAAACAGGGTCCCACAGTTAACAATAACATGAGGATTATTAAAGGACCAGCTAGGGCTGATAAGAGTGTAGTTAGCCAGGGGGATTGTGTGAACCAAGACTCAAACCATCCTTTTTGAGCCTCTCTCTCTCTCTCGTTGTCGCTCCTCAAGGCGTTTTCTTAATTTAGTCATTGATTCTTTGACTACCCCACTATGGTCAGCATAGAAGCAACATTTCTCCCTTAGGGCAGCACAGAGTCCCCCTTCCCTCATGAAGAGGAGGTCTAACCCTCGTCTATTTTGTAAAACAACTTTAGAGAGAGAGGTTAGGGACTCTTGTAAGGCTGTGATGGAGGTTTCTAATGTTTTTAAGTCCTGATTTATTGCTGCTTGTAATTGGGCCATTTGTTGAGACCCATGGACCAGGGCAGCAGTTCCTGTACCCACTCCTGTAGCAACTCCTATTTCTAATAATATGGCTAAAGTGAGGGACACAGGTTCCCGGCGGAATCGGGTGGTATATCCCCTTATTTGATCTTCAAATGTATTTGCGTCATGATAGAGCACTCTGGGAAATATTTGTACCATTACACAATAATTTACAGAGTTGTTAAATATCTGGGCTGAAATGCAAGGAGTTAACCCTGAGTCACATGCCCACCAGGTTCCTTTCCAGTGAGGCTCCAGGGATGACACCTGATGTCGTCTTATATAGACGAAGTCTCCCACTTGGTATTGGTGTGGGGTCCCTTCGTCTCCAGGTTGGCAGGAAGCAGCCAGCTGTTTCCACAGGTACTGCTGGGTTTTTTCAAGAGCTTTAAGTCTGTCAAGCAAGGGAGTATGGAAGGAATCATTAAGTCTCAAAGTTGGGGTTAGGTCTCTTATTGGAGGAGGGGTACCATAGAGAACTTCATAGGGGGTAAGATTACATAAAGAGACTGAGGGAGTATTTCTTGCACGAAACAGTGTATAAGGTAGGAGCATAGTCCAATCTTTTATGCCGGTCTCTAAGCTCAATTTTGTTAAGGTCTCTTTAATAGTCCTATTCATCCTTTCTACCTGTCCTGAGCTCTGGGGTCTATAAGCACAATGTAACTTCCAATTAATCCCCAGGGTCCTGGCCAATCCCTGACTTACCTGGGCCACGAACGCCGGTCCATTATTGGACCCTATTACCTTAGGCAGGCCAAATCTCGGGAAGATGTCCTCCAGGATCTTTTTGATTACCACTTGAGCTGTTTCTTTTTTCGTGGGGAAGGCTTCAACCCACCCTGAAAAAGTATCTACAAAAAACTAGAAGATACTTAAGTCCATACCTTGCTGGTTTAATTTCAGTAAAGTCTATTTCCCAGAATTGTCCTGGTCTGGTCCCTTGTAGGCACTTCCCTGTAGGAAGCTTGGAAGGGTAAGCATTAACCAATTGACAGACCCAGCAGGCTCTTATTACCCGTTTGGCTATTTCTTTTCGTTGTGTGCTGGTCAGCGGAAATTTCTGCTCTTGGTCCTTCAGGAATGCCTGTAGTTTTTTTGAACCAAGGTGAGTGAGTTGATGCACATCTTTAACATAGTGTAGGGCTTTTTGAAATTGCAGGCTAGGCCCGGTGGAGTCAAGGAGTTCAGTTTCAGTGTCCTCAGGTGTTAAATTGCCTGGGTACTCCAACACAGTTAAATCTCCTGACTGTTGTTCCCCTGGTGAGGAAAGTGTTAACATGGTTACTCTGGTCAGAGCTGCCAACTTAGCTTCCTCATCTGCCCTTCTGTTTCCGACCACCACTGGATCATTTCCCTTTTGGTGCCCTGGGCAGTGCACTATAGCTAGTTCTTTGGGGTTTTGCACTGCTGAGAGAAGGCTGAGAATCTCATCTTTGTTTTTTATTTCTTTTTTGGCTGAGGTTAATAGCCCCCTTTGCTGATAAATAGCCCCATGTATATGGGCGGTAGCAAACGCATATCGGCTATCAGTATATATGGTGGCCTTTTTGCCTGCTGCTAGTTCTAATGCCTTCGTAAGAGCGATCATCTCTGCCTTTTGTGCAGATGTCCCTTCCGGGAGACTAGAGGACCAGATGACTTTTGTCCTGCTAACTACTGCTGCCCCAGCTCGCCGCTTACCGTCCTGGAGGAAGCTGCTGCCGTCCGTAAACCACACGACCTCAGGATGGGGCAGTGGCTGATCCTTTAGATCCTGTCGTATACTGGTCTCTTCTGCCAGTATATGTTGACAGCCATGGATGACAGGCTCTGATGATTCTTCAGGTAGGAGTGTGGCTGGGTTAAGTGGGGCTGGGGGTCCTAGTGTTATTCTGTCTTTGTCAAGCAACAGGCTCTGATAGTGAGTTATTCTAGAGTTTGATAGCCATCTGTCTGGAGGCTGACGAATGATGTTCTCCAGGGCATGAGGGGCTATAATGGTTAGCTTCTGTCCCAGCGTTAATTTATCAGCATCTTTTATTAGAAGGGCCGCTGCTGCTATAGCTTTTAGGCAATGGGGCCACCCGCTAGCCACTGGATCTAGCCTTTTGGACAGGTAGGCTACAGGTCTCTTCCAGGGCCCTAAAGTCTGAGTGATCACTCCTTGGGCTATTTCTTTTTTTTTTTTCAATGTAAAGAGTAAAGGGCTTTTCTACATCCAGAAGTGCTAGAGCTGGAGCAGATAGCAGTGCCTTTTTAATATCATTAAAAGCTTGCTGATGTTTGGGGGTCCATTGGAATTGGGTGTTTGCCTTCAACAGTGGGTACAAAGGAGCGGCTAGGGATGCAAACCCAGGAATCCATAATCTACAAAAGCCAGCAGTCCCGAGAGACTCTCTAAGTTGCCTCCTATTAGATGGGGGCGGTATCTGCACAACAGTCTGTTTTCTGGGCCCTGTGAGCCATCTTTTGCCATCTCTAAGGGAATAGCCCAGGAAAATAACTTCTTGCTGGCAGATTTTAGCCTTTTTGGCAGAAGCTCTATATCCAAGCCGAGCAAGCTCGGATAATAGTGCTCGTGTTTCAGACTCACAGTTTTCCTTGGTGTCAGCTGCCAGCAGCAGGTCATCCACATATTGAAGCAGGGTGACTCCTGGGTGTGTAGTCCTGAAGTTATTGAGGTCCCTGTGGAGGGCTTCATCAAAGAGAGTGGGGGAGTTTTTGAACCCCTGTGGGAGTCTAGTCCAGGTTAGTTGGCCAGATGTTCCTGTTTCTGGATCCACCCACTCGAAAGCAAACAGTAGCTGGCTATCTTTATGTAAAGGCAAACAAAAGAAGGCATCTTTTAAGTCCAGGACAGTATACCATTTTCGTTCAGAATTTAGAGTACTAAGCAGATTATATGGATTAGGTACTGTGGGGTGAATGTCCTGTACTCTGTTGTTGACTTCCCTTAAGTCCTGCACAGGATGATAGTCTCCTCTAGGTTTCTTTACTGGCAGTAGGGGAGTGTTCTAGGCCAATTGGCAGGGCCTTAGGACCCCTAGAGCCAAGTATTTTTGAATATGAGGCCTTATTCCATTTTTAGCTTTTTTGTTTAGAGGATATTGTTTAATATTGATTGGGGAGGCAGAGGTTTTTAATTTCACTACTATCGGAGGCTGTTTGACTGCTAAACCTAGTCCAGCAGTTTCTTCCCAGGCATCGGGGTAATTTATTATCCATTTTGGGGGTAGCTTGCCCATTTTATCAGTCTTAGAGGGCACGAAGAGTTGATGTTCATCATCTACTGACATAGTTAAAGCTGTGACTATGGGAGTCTTTACTGAAGGGTTCAGAAACTCCACTTGGGGACCATCAGGGTTAAAGGTTATTTTGGCCCGGAGTTTGGTGAGCAGATCTCTGCCCATCAATGGGGTTGGACATTCTGGGATTACCAAGAAAGAGTGATGAATTTTACCCTTCCCCAAGTCCATAGTCCTCTTAGTTGTCTAAGCCCGATATTTACTGCCATTAGCCCCTTGAACTAGTGACCTCTTGTTTGATAAGGGGCCCAATGGAGTTTTAAGGGCTGAGTATATTGCTCCTGTGTCCAGTTCGAAGTTTACTGGGGTCCCCTCCACTTCAAAAGTTACCCTGAGCTCGGGGAGGGGGTCCGAGCCCTGACTCCCCTAATCATCTTCCAGGGTTAGGATGGCTGGCTGGCGTGACTGTTTCCTTTTAGGGCATTCTCTGGTCTAGTGTCCCTTTTCCTTACAGTAAGCACATTGGTCTGAAGCCAAGGGCAATTTTTGGCGTGGGCCCAGGTACCCTTTTCTGTCTCCTTGCTTTTTAACTTCTAGTCTGTCTGCTGCTGTGACCAGGACCTTTGCCAACATCTTAGTCTGTCTTTTATTCCTTTCATCTTCCTTCTTTTCCCTTTCTTTCTCCCTTCTTTGTTCTTTTTCTTCCTCTGTCTCCCTTTTATAATACACTTTCTCAGCCTCTCTGACTAAATCTCTTAAAGTCATATCTTGTAGTCCATCTAAACGTTGTAGCTTTTTTTTTAATATCTAGGGCAGCTTGCCCGATGAAGGCCATTGCAACAGATGCCTTTTGGTCCTCTGCCTGAGGATCAAAAGGAGTATATCTCCTATATGCTTCCATGATTTTCTCTAGAAACATTGAGGGTGACTCATTAGGCCCTTGGATAATCTCTCTTACCTTGGCCAGATTAGTTGGCCATCTGGCGGCCGCTCGGAGACCCGCTATTAGAGTCTGGCGATAAGTGGACAGATGCTCCCTACCTTCGAGGGTGTTGGGATCCCAGTTGGGTCTGTTCAGGGGAAAGGCAGCTTCAATTAGATTGGGAAGTTGGGTTGGTCGTCCATCTGGTCCAAGAATATTTTTCCTGGCTTCCAGGAGGATCCTCTCTCGTTCCTCAGTTGTGAAGAGGGTCCCTAGAAGCTGTTGGCAATCATCCCAAGTAGGCTGGTGTGAAAACATCAGTGACTCTATTAAACCTGTGAGTCGGGTGGGATCTTTAGAAAAAGGGGGATTAATATTTTTCCAGTTATATAGATCAGAAGAGGAAAAGGGCCAATATTGGTAAACTTGTATTTCTCCCCCTTGTCCATCATCAATCATTGGCCCGTAGGGGCGGAGGGGGAGCATTACTGGAGCATCAAGATTCTTAATTATTCGCTGTCAGCGGGTTCCCCCTGCTGGCCCAATTTCCTCCAATGGAGGAGGAGTTGGGCTTACAGCAAGGGAGCCATCTGGAGCAGTTTCCTCTACCGAAGGGATCGGATCTGCTTCAGGGGAATTGTCTATAGGACGTTGGGAGCTGAGGGGCAAGGGATATGGGGGTGGAGGAGGGGAATCTAGTAATTCAGGGAGGATGGAGGGAAGAGGGGGAGGAAGAGGAGAAGGAGCGGAGGGTTTGAGGGACAGAATGGTGGGGGTAGAGGTGGAGGCAGGTACAAGAAAAGGTTTCACCCATGAAGGGGGAGATTCACAGAGGTTCTGCCAAGTGAGAATATATGGCTGTTGATCTGGATGACCATGTGGCCCCAGCTGGAAAACAATATTTCTGACTTTTCGGATTAGAGGGAGGTGGAAGGATCCTTCTGGGGGCCATCCGACTCCAAGAGTGGGCCATTCTGATGTACAGAGAGTCTGCCAGGTCCGGCGTTTCACTGAAAAAGAGAGATTCTGGGCCCTTGAGTGGACTTTAGGCCAATGATCAAGGGTCAAAGACAGGGGAGTTGAGTTACCTTGTCCCATAATGAGGGATATGCAAACAGTGAAAGTAATGACACAGACAACAAAGACAAACAATAGACGTCCACCACAAGTTTGAAATAGAAACCAAAACTGAGTAGCTGGCAGAACCTGACGGGCTGGCAACAGAGTCACTGAGTCTGAATCATTGGCAAAATACACCTGAGCTGAGGGCTTTTCTGTCCCTCGCATCGGGGGCACTTCCGTCCCTCGATTTCCCGAGTCCACCAAGGCGTCCCCTGGGGATGTAGCCTGTGGCTTCTGGACACGTCTGTCCACCACCGTCGGGGAGAACTTACGCTCTCCGCCAACAGCCACCTTGCCAAGCCCTAAAATTAAAAGTCCTGAGCGATCACAACGAAGAAAACAAAAAGGAGGTGCCTTACTTACCCCGAGAAATGTCTGTTGGGGTCTTTCGTCTGCCACTGACGAATCCCGGACGAGCCCCCAAATGTTAGGGTCGGGCAAACGTCGGAGGAAAGGACCACCAAGAGACTGTCTCATGCAAAAGCAAAGGGGTTTATTGGACCAGCATGCTGGGGCTCAGAGTTCTCCTGAGAGAAGCTGGAGCCCTGAGCACAGCTTAAGCAGAGTTTTTAATGCAGTGTTTAAACAGGGAAGTTCATATGGCGGTTAGGATGCGAGGGTGGGATTGTTACAAAATAACCATTACAGAATAATCATGCCTTTTGTCAGGGGGTGTTGGGTCAGGGTACATTTTGACATAAATAACTGTTTTTAACATAAGTTTCGGGTTCCAGGAAAACAGAACTTAAACTTACAGAAAAGCAAAACTTAAACTTAACAGGAGAGCAAAACTTAAATTTAACCTTTACACAGCTATGGCCCCTTTCTTTCTCCAGGAAAAGCCTTTATTAAAAAAACTCTTTTAAATTCTTGCCTTGGAACTTCTATAATGTTCAGAGTTGAACAAGTGAGGAAGAAGAACTCATCAAGACAACCCAGTGATATCTTATTCATACCCTTAGGACCATAACTCTTTTTCTTTTGGTACCTGGAGTTCAAATCAGGAACACTCAACCACTGAGCCACATCCACAGTCCATTTTGTATGTATGTATGTATGTATTTTAGATACAGTGTCTACCTGAGTTGCTTAGCACCTCAAAATTGCTAAGGATGGCTTTGAATTCCTCATTCTCCATTCTCCTGTCTCAGCCCCCAGAGTCCCTGGGATTACAGGCATGCACCACCACTCCCAGCTAGGACCTTAACCCTTAATATCATCACACTGGAGACTAGGTTTCAATGTGTGAATTCGGTGGACATAAGTTCCCAGACCCTAAACCTACCACCCAAATCTCAGCCACCAAGACTGCAAACTACTAGAAAATGTCTCTGCTTATTTAAAACAACCCACTCACCAATCTATTTCCATCCCCACACTTGTGAGGAGCAGGACTGGCTTTCTCCATTGATTCTAAAGCCTGGGCCAGCTGGGTATGTCCAGGAGAGCCAGGTGGGGTCCTCAGGATCCTGTCTCCTGAAGGTGGCTCTTATTCTCTGTGAATCTGCAGACACTGTGATCCCCACACTGACATGATTATAACACACCTGAGAAGATGTTTCTCTGTGTGGTGTGTCCTGGAAGAGGCCTTGGAGGCTCAGGAGGTCCTGAGAAGAGATTCTTGTCCCTCATCCCTGAGAACCTCTCTATCTAGTAAGGTGTCCTTCTGCCTTGCAGAATTCCCCCTACAGTCTCCTGACCATCCCCCACTCACTATAACATCCACATCAGTGATTTTTCTTCTCCCTTCATTGCTGTCCCTAAATTTCTCTGGCCCCTCATATGAAAACCCTCTCATCTTTTCTCATTGTACAAAGTTAGCAAATAATGATCATTGTGCCTCTGGGTCCCCTCAAATCTTTTTCTATTAGACATTAAGAGGCTGATTTCTCATCCCAAAGACCTTGGGAGTCCCCCAATTCCAAACCTCTGACTGACATGCCCTCCTTGGGTACAAGTTACCCAAGGGGAGATGACCCCCTCGTTTCCATTCATTATATTTAAGCCCAATCAAAGACTTCATGAATTTGGGGCAAAAATGACAATTCCATTTGGCCATTTGGGCCACCAGTGCACAGACAAGGTTAACATTAAGCCAGAAGGGACCCAGCACATAAAGGACTTTCCTTTTGGTGAAGAATGATAGGTGCAACCTTATAGCATTTAATGAGTTCCTGCAAGGAAGCTTCCATCTTTCAATTCTGCAGAAGCACACTGTATTACCCAAAGTGTTTCCCACAATATTTTTTAGATACTTAATAGATTTTTAAAATTCTTCAGTGTGGAGCATGTGTGTGTGTGTGTGTGTGTGTGTGTACAGTGTTAGGGACCACACCTACCTCCTTGGCCTGCTAGGCAAGCACTATACCACTGAGCTACATCCATTCACAACCCAGTGTGGAATAACTTATATGCAATTAAATTAATCTACTGAGTGTACAATTTACTCACTCTGAGGTAATATGTAAGATAAGCAAACACCACCACCACAAGCTTTACCAGTTTCTTTCACTTCCTAAACTTCCTCATGCCCCTTTGTAGTCCTTCTTTGCCCTGAATCCTGCTCTAAGGCAGTCACCTAATTGCTTGGGTTCCTCTAGTTGGCCTTGCCCCAAATATGATGCACATGGACACTTTTAGGAATGGCTCTGTCATTTCACATACTACTTTTGAGATGCAAGCAGATCTCAGATTCCTTTTCCTGGGGAGTGGCATTCCTTGTAGGGACACACCACACTTTATCCACTGACCAATTAATATACATCTGAGTGTCTTCCATTTTTTGACCAATTCTAATAAAGCTCTTAGGAACATTGTCATAAATTATTTATATGGACCCAAGCTGTCATTTCTCTTGAGGAAAGATGGGAGAGGAGAATTGCTGAATCACATGGCAAGTGTGTGTGGAATGTTTAAGGGAAATAACAAATTTACTCCACAAAGACTCTGTCACTTTGCATCTCTACCAGCCATTTACAAGGGTATCAGTTGCTCCATCCTCTTCAACACTTGGTCTGATGGTCTTAGATCAAATTGTATTTAAACCATGTGTTGGGGGATCTCACTGCAGATGTTTGTTTTGACTTTTAGACTCTGCCTCCATCTTCCATCCTCTCTCTCT